CTGTTGAATTTGGTGCTGTTGATGCTCTGAGGTCACATCTAGTAAAAGCCTGAATGGTAATCTTAGATATTAGCCTCTGTTGTCTGTGCAGTAACTATCTTCTGAGTGCAGCCTGGTGTAACAACTCCATGTTCTTGGCTATTAACAAAGCTGTTACCACATGTGAGGTGTTTTGTATGTGGAAGGAGATGGAAAAAATGGGAACTTCTTGACCTTACTAACTTCTGCTGAGAACAGATGATCTCTGGAAAGAAGTCTTTAACACATTTAAATCAATATCTTCACAATAATTGGGTGGGTGTACATTTTTTTTGGTCAGATTCTAGCACATACCTGAATTTGAACGCAGTACAAGCCATAAAATTACCTGGCCTCCCCATACTTTTTTTGTCTCCTATCACTGTACTTGTACTCAGCACTTTTTGTGAGTGGGGGAATTAATTGTTTTAATACATTCTCAGTTACTGCTTTTCTGCCTTTCTCCCATTGCCTTTTTTACTCCCATCCAGAGAAGCACAGAAACAAAGTATTATTTTGAAAAACTGTTCTATTATCCTTAGTTTCCTGTGTCACAGGACACACTTAAGGGTTTCTAACAGGGGCACTGTTTGGAACACAACATTGATGGAGAGCTTACCAGCATTAGCTGAATTAATCTTTAATTTCTACCCCTCTCTCTCCATGTCTCACTATGAAAGGAAGATTCTGTTAAAAGGAACACAGTGAATTTTTAATTGTCTATATGGAGGACACAAAGCTGTCTATGGTGGATAAAGACTGTTGCTTTCATAATACATTAGGTTGCATAATCATTGTAACTTCATCAAGTAACTTCTTCCAAGGAGATAACTCCCTTAGTCATCTTACTGTTGACTTACCATATAATCTAGTCCACAAGCCTTCCTGGCTCTGTCAAGGCCACAGCAGAAATGCCTGTAACAATCCTCTTTTCCCTTCAAGTTGTATGAAAGGGAATTTCCTGTTCTCCAGCTCTAAGGGGCAGCTGTAGTCACTCTGGAAGAATACATTATTATCCATGGTCCCTAGCTACCAAAAACACTCTTTTGCATTGAAGTACCCCATAAATTTGTGAACTTGTATCAGGGAAAGTGAATTTGGCATCTTAAAAAAAAAAAAGAATGGACTCACAACCATCCCATAGCTGCCCCATGGCCACTCCAGGGGAAATAAAATCTTGAATGTTATTAATGTTTCATTTACACACAACAACAAATTATACAGAAAAATGCCACTCCAAATACTACTACCTCTTTCTAATTAAGGTGACCACAATTTTTTCCTAACTAGTAACTCATCCAGACAACATCACCTTTTCCATTGTTTTGCAAGTGACTTTATTTGAACCTTTATTTTGTGAACAGATGAAAGGAACACTTGATATGATCTGTGTCATCTTGCTTTGCTTTCTCAATCTGCCTTCTCATGCAACAAAGAGACAGGAGAAAACTGTCCTAAGAGACAGGAAAAATACATGAGGCAATTAATGTTTTACTACACGTCAAGTCAAACAAAAATACTTCACTTTCACAACTCGTTTAAGCTCAAGATCCTTCCATTTGCACAAAGCCTGAACTTAAATATGTACTGCCAGAGGCCAAAAGAGCTGACCCTGCAGTTCCAGTGAGCCACTGTCAGCTGTGCTCTGTGAACAGAGATTGGCTTTCCTTCCTGACATCACCACTTGATTAGTGTAGCAGGATGCTCCATCTCTCAGTATGCCTGCCTCAGTTTCCCTCTATGACTCAGTTGCTTTTTGTCTCAATTTTACAGGCCCAGGCCTGGACTGGAAAGATTCCCATGGGAAAGGAAAGGGCCTGGCAAGCTTTGAGCTGGTAACAACCTTGAAAGTACACACAGAGGGACAAGTTGAAGTTTATCACACCAGCTGCTCTCCAGTGTTGAAGAACACACAGAGCCCAGCCTAGCCACAACTAGACCTGAAATGGAGATAAAGTAAGAATGAAGAGATAAACAAAAGAGTATGCTTGGAGAGAAAAGGGCCTTCTTGGCTTTTCCCACTGTTTTCCTTTTATTCTCCAATGAGAGATTTTGGAGGTACAGCTGAATAGTTAAATGATAGCAGACAATCCACTTTATTCTAGAAAAGCCTGGTCCCATCTGTGGGGGGAGTCCCATACACTTTCCCAGGAGGGGTGCTGGACCTTCTCCTCTCCAGAGAAGACACCTGCCAGAGAGATCAATTCTTGAGAATCAAGGACCAGACAAAGGGACACCCAGCTGAGGCTGTGTGAGGGTGAGAGATTAACTCCCTTATTGTCTTTATATTAATTTGACACTAAGCAGCCTTTCATCATTAAGTTTTAAATGTTAAGATTTTAGGATCCTTTTAAAGTCAGTAATTGATGTTCTAGATCTAGTATAAGACTTGTTAATAAGCTGGTAGCATTTAAATGGTTTACCTTTACTGATTGATTTGACTATCAGTGATACATTTTATTGTTAAGATACCTTTTGCATTGTAGCTTCAATGTTCTGATCTCCCAATTTCCCCACAATAGGACTGTGCTTGTGCCTTTTACTTTAAAACAGTTAAGACCCCGGTGCTGTTTGCAATAAACCTTATTTGTGCATATACATCTCCTCTGCTATCTCTCCCCATTCGGGTCAGTCAGAAATTACAATCAGAGATATGACTGAAAATCTGATTGTGTTTTTGTCATATCCCAGAATTCAGCTTTTCTATTTCGAGGTACAAAAACTCGGTGGGGTAGAAATCCTGGTGAGGCAGCTGCAGAGAAAACAGCTCTCACACAACTGACTTAAAAGCAAGACCCACTGAGGCCCCTGACACAGCATGCAGGTGCACACAGAGCCCTGTGCCTTGCAGTCCATGACAAGGTTCAACCTCTCATGATACTGGAACCAGGCTGATGAACAATTTTCAGTCTAGCCTCAGACTGAAAATTAAGTTGATAAATTAATCAAGGTGTGATGCAGTTTTTTCCCCATATAAAATTAATGGTATCAAAGTTGAAATGATTATCATTGCTTCAAATGTTAGTTTTGCAGAACAGACTCACATGGCAGGGACTCAGTGGTACAACAGGGTTTTCATTTCATGTAATCCAAACTTGTCTAAAAGGAAGAGCAGGATCTGCTCATGCTTTTTAAGCTGTGGAATAAACAAAAAAACATTAGAATGGTTTTTATTTTAAATTGCTGATTTCAGATGAGGGCAGGTGCTAAGACTAAAAACATAGAGCTGGGTCTGTATCAGTTCAATGAATATGCTGTTCCTTTCTGCTGGAAAATCATCTGGAGGGAGAAGAAGCCAGTCTTCTCTTTGTTATGAGACTTCAAGCCAAACTTACCCCAAGAAGGAAGGATAACAGGAAACAGTGACCAAACTGAACTCGGAAGAGACATGAGCTAGATTGAACTGGAAGAGCAAAGAGAAATCTGTGTCCCCACAGTGGCACAGAGATTGATTCTCAGGAGCAGCACCATTTTACTGCCTTTTGCCACATCCCTCCCAGTAACTGCACTTACTCCAAAGCAGCAAAAGTCTATGTGACCTCAAACAGAAATGCTCTTTTCCTCCTGCCAAAACACATTTCTGCTTTTGACCCCGCTGCCTTTGGCTGGGGGCAGTTCAAACCACCCCTGAAAGGGCTTTCTCTTCAATACTCAAAGTTTTGCTCATTCCTTTGACAAAGATCCTTACTTTGAGATGCATCTTTTCTGGTATGCTTTCAGAGTTACTTTTAGTAATCTAAAGTTCTAATTTTTCTTAAAAACCCAAGTTAAGATGAAATGAGAAAGCTTAAAACCAGAAAGCTCTCAAAAATTAAGAGGAATATGCCATATCTGTAAGAGGCATTTTTTTTAAATAAAAAAAGGAAACAACAATCTTGCAACTGGAAAATGCTTACAAATTCCAGTATTCCACTGACCTCAGGTTCTTGGCCCTAGCTTGCTGACCAAACTGTGGTACAGTTAATCTTTGCTACCTGAAATAGACCTTGTCAGAATTTTCCTGTGTTGTGCAGCTGTTGGCCAAGTTGTATGCACAGCAAAACAGCCCACTGCTGAAAAAAGCCAGCTGCTCCAATGTCCAAATGACACAATTTATGAAAAACACTGCAGCGACCTTTTTATAACAGGCAAAAATATCACTTCTGAGCCTCCATACTCAGGGAAAAAAAGAAACAGCTGTACATGGAGCAAAACACAGACTGAATCAAGTCAGTGTCATCAATACACTGTCCTCCATCCATTTCAGGGTGCTCTAATTATTACCATGCATAAACTAAGAAAGAGT